CGTTGCCTCAGTCACACTTTGCTTGGAGTGGGACCCCCAGTGAGATGTGATATGGGCAGCACCTGTTTATTAGAGAGCAGTGTCAGCACTGTGAAACAAAATAAGTAAGTAACTGGTGAAAACAGCTCTGCTAAAATAGAGGACTAGCTCTGATCAGGCTGGGCATGATATAACATGGTGGCTTAAAGCCATGTAATGCCATTTTCCATTAGAGCTCTTGTTCGAGTCAGGAAGGGGTTTGATCCATTGATGGAAGCTGTTATACACAGATGAGAAAACCTCATCCATATTTCTCTTGAGATTGTACAAAGCTGACAGTATGCTCGCTGACCACAGTCATCTGAGACTCTCACACAAAATAACCCTCTTTTCATAAATAACAGGATTGTTGTTGTGGCGGACTGAGATTTGCTGTAGAATTCAGTTGTGTCGAACAAAGAGCTTCTTCTGGTTTTTAATTTGAGCTATTAAAAAGATTCATCTTTCTTTTTGTTCTCATTTTCCTTCCCCTCTTTCTCCCTTTCTTTTTTTTTTTTTTCCTTCCCCTCTGTCTGTCTTTAGGATAACTTAAAGCTGTTTGTCTGAAACAAAAGACTTGCGTGGGTCTGGTCAGTGATGCCTCTGGATTGAATGGTCACGATTTCAAATCCTGCTTAGGACTAAACTTGGATGAATTCCATAAGCTAATAACACAGCACAGTGTTTCAAATTGATGGAGGTACTGTCCTCTAGATGAGACATAAAACCAGAGATCCAATCTGCTTGGCAGAGACCCCACAGGACTTATCAAAGATGAGTGGGGGCTGCTAACTGTTTTGCCCTTGTCAAATCCTTACCACCATCACGGTTTCTCTTGCTTTTCCAAAGCAATGACACTGGACCTTATGAAAATGAGATGGTGGATTTGAAGGAGCCATCCTTTTCCTAATTATTTAAAGCAGTTTGCAGTGTCTGGCAGAAGGGGGAAAGAGAGATAATCTACTCACTTGAAAGTGGAATGACCCTGAATTTCAAAAAGCAAAACAAAAGCGAGCGAATGGTGCCACCATGCTCTGCAGCAGTGACATTATTAAAGGATCAGTGAGCTATTAAAGCAGCAACATTTAGTACCTCCCCTAATGACTTGTACTGCTAACTGGTTTCCAAATTGAGATTTTTATTGCCTCCATGCACAGACAGAACGAGGCTGTGTCTGCGCTTCCAGAGGCTCGAGCTTAAGCAGACTGTTCACAATAGGATCAATGAATCGTGTCAGTTGAAAACTAGTAATGGCTTATGAGAGTTCTCTATGTCCTCTTTTCTTACCAGGGCTGGAAGCTTTGGGCTGTGGGGCATGGTGTGGATCATAAATACCCGGGATTTTGCAGAGAACCTATCACAATTCTTGAACTTCCTAACATCTGTGAAATTTGGCAGAGTTGTGCATAAACAGAATGTCCTGAAATCTCCCCAGATCTGCTCATGCCATTCAAAGCGTGAATGCTGTGAGAAGGGCGTTTGCAAGAGGGACATTGGGCACACCGGTTCCCACTTCCAGATAAAAATATGGAGCACGGAGGAATAAGTCTATGGAGGAGGAAGGGAGACGAAAAGGTACTGCAGACACTAGTAAAAGTGAAGATACACCCAGATACACCCATGTTTCCACCATGACTCTCCCAAGTAGATTTTGACTGTCTCGTATGAGCTGAGCTCCTGTGATGGGAATAGCTGGGAAATATCCTTCTGTCAAGTGCAGTTCAAGCTAGGAAGGGAGTTCCTGTGGGCACACAGCATGTGTGATTGCAGAAAGGAAGCTGGTTAAAAACCAACCAACAAACCAAACCACCTAGCAAAAGTGGGTTCTGGTTGCAGTTGCTGTTACTTACTTGCTCCACTGTAAGCCAAACTGGAGTTTGGGTCTTCCATGCACCTGAGATAAATGCAACTGTTATTGCTTTAATTTGCTTTTCTCCATTGGTCCTGCACACATGTGCTGCAGGCACTTGCTGAGTGAATCATGCCAGCCCTCACCCAGGCTGGACAGTCACAGGGAGAGACTGACACTGCTGCTTCTGGTTTTATGTATCAGATGCCTGATTTCCATGACAGAAACCGCTCATCCTTTGCGGGAGCGACAGGCAGAGCAGAGGGGGTAGGACGGCTGCAGAGACCAACATTAGAACATGCACATTTTTTATCCCATGCTGGTTTGAGTCTCTTTCCATCAATGCTAGCTGCAAGTTATTCTAATTTTGTGAGTTTTTGGTGGCTGCATGTGGCACAGGTTTGCATTTCCAGTTTCTTCACACTTTCCATCCATCCGTGTGTCCATGCTCTGCAAAATACCCTTACCTTTTTTGACAAAGCAAACAGGTCTCCGTGTGGGCTGAAAAGTATGTTCAGAACTGTAGGAAAATGGGGTGAAGTGGCCTTAGAGGCCCTTCTACACTTCCTTACCCAAACTCCATGCAGGACCAATTAGACCTAAACCATTTATGTTTGCTGTGGGTTTAACCTGTTCTTGAAGACTGCTGGTCGGGAGATTTCCAGATGTGCTAAGGCAGGTCGTTCCAGTGGTTAGCCATCCTTAGGTTTAGAAAGCTGTTCCCGAGACCTGAGCTCAGCAGTGGAATTGGATTCCTGCTGGTCAGGGTTAAGGCAGAGTTGTAAGGCAGGAGCTCGTGGAGCCACTTCCTTGGCTGCACCCACTCTCATCTAAGGACTTCCTCCCCCAGGACACCAGGTCAGGTGTTTCCCACTGTGCAAACACAAGCAGTGTAGACAGAGAGAGAAAAGGGCAGCAGGGCCATTTCTGGCAGAGGAGCTTTCTGAGGCTGGCACTGACAAAATGTCCTAGAGACTTTACTGAGTCCAATTACCACTTTATGTCTTTAAAGTGGTGAGTAAATGAAAGAAACTACAAGATCAAGCCACGTTAGTCTTCTCAATCCCTGAAGTGTCTGACAGCCCTCTCCCCTTCTTTCTCGCTTCCTCAGACTACTCTGAACTCTTAACCTTCGCCACCGCTTTGAGTTCACATCCGCAGAAACCAAGCTACCCCCAGCCACCCCCAAACTCCGGTGACAATCACAAAACACTTCCAAAGCAACACTGCCCTCCCTCGAATTGATAAAGTTTAGGCTGTCTCCGACTTGCTGAAGCCTCCTGCACGTACGGTTGGTCTCGCCCGCCGGCGCTGGCTGCAGGGGAGCTCGCTGGGCACGGCCGCAGCCGGGGAACAGCCGGTGCTGATTCACACAACCAGCTCTCCCTGTCCACGCAGACAACAGCCGGGAACACCAGCTGTTCAGGCTGTGCTGCGCCGTTGGGCTGAAGGATATAGATGCCCGCAGCACATATGGTATTAGGATCGCAGTGAGCGTATCAGGACAGACCCCAAAACAGAAGGGACGGATCCGTGTAACCATCACAGGCACAGCAGTGGGAACTGGAAAAGCGGGACAAGATCACCGAGGAGAAAAGCAGCGTCAGGAGTCGTCCTCAGCCGCTAGAACTGGACCTCATTGCAGCACTAGCAGAGCTGGTGGATGCTTTTTTGCAGAAGTAGAGCTAAAGACTGTCATGTCAGTTTGACCTTCCTTATAAATAAATAAATAAGTGGTAAACAGAGATCTCACAGTGATGCCTGAACCTGATGTCTCATGCTCACTTGTTTTGATGTGTCTAATGTAAGTGGGCGGGTAATAAAAGCTTCATTTAGAAGCCAGCATCTTCACAGGCGCTGCTGGAAGCCCCTGGGACACTGCACTTCTGGAATTTTCTTCTAATGGAAACATCAGCAGATAACTATTGATAAAGCAGAACATGCATGCGCGCACACAGAACAACCCAGCAATGGTTTATTTTCCTGGACTGCTGGGTGTGGATTGCAAAGGTCTCTTTAGATTCCCCAGGTTATGTTCCCATCTCAGCTGCTGCATCAGCACTGCTGAGATGCCCGCCACGGTGACCATTTGGGACAGTGCCCTGAAGAAGTGTGGAGTTATTGTAGTGTGGCTAGGCATCTGTTCCAAACAGGCAAATAAAGGAATCTTCAGCCCCCATAATACAGCTGTGGATAATGGCATCCTCTTCATATCTCCCACCCTGTAGATAAGGAGATGCTTCTCTGTAACAAGCAGACATAGTGCTGACATTTCACACAAGCAGCACATTCACCCTATGTACATGTTGTCTAGGATATTATTTTTCAATGTATCCACAGGTTATTCAGCTTTTTTTTAGGCACTTGAGTCTTCAGGAAGGTCTGATTCCTGTGCATGTGAGGTCTCTGTGGCAGTTCTCATGTGCACCACCTGCCTAATGCTGGGCTCAGGGTAAACTGAAGGAGAAATCATGGCTAGTGAGGAGAGAAGACACTGGAGTTACTGCTGAACTCCTTAAGGTAACCTACTGTCCTTCCAGTTCAGTGCTAAAATCACCATTTTCAGATCCTGAATACAACAAAGGTAAAGAACAGCATATTCTCCCTGGACAGTGTAGGGGTCAGAGCCAAAGGTTTTTGGGGGGGCTACAGCTTTAATCCCAACCTTCAGCAGACTGGTCCATGGCTGGTTCATACCATGATGTAGCTGACCTCGTTTCCTGGATACAAGCACAGAAATACTGCCTGTATCCAAGCATTTATAGGTAATTATTTTCCCTGAATGTGGAAATTGGAGGGCCCCTTTTGTCTAGTGCATTATTTCATGAGAACCACAGGGATCTGCAACCAGGCGTGGGGGGAAAGGGAGATTGTTTCCTCCTGTCTGTGGTTTTATGCAGCATCTGCCTGTGAAAACAAGAAGAAAACAAGATGACCCCCACCTTATCTGTTTGCATAAGTCATTTTGCCTGAAGCTTGAGCACTGTGGGATGGTTAGTGTAAAACTTGCTCTTGCATTAAATAGCAATAATTTACCTTTAAAGGCTACTTTTATTATTATTATTATTATTATTATTATTATTATTATGATTATTAATGATTTAAAAAATGTTCCTTAATTAAGAACTCCCAGATATGAAGCTTGGAAGAAATGTGGCCAGGACGTTCTTGGATTACTACAGGCTGAACTCCTTGGTGGAGAGACCACTAGGAACTACTCCTAAAACTCGGTAGGTCAGAAAGCAATTTCTCTTGCTTTAGCAGGGCTGCTTTTTTAATACTTTTCATGACTAAACTTCAGTTCTACTGCACTACGGCTTTATAATAAGCGTGCTAGTCTAACTGTGCCTATTTTATTGAAATTCCATTTGGAAATAAAGCATTTATGTTCAGGAAAGATACCTGGCTTCTGTCTGAAAAAGTATTCAGAGGATTTTGGAGATATCGATATCTTTCCTGAATTCTGTCTGCTGTACACCAATCTCACACCAGTATCTTTAATGGACTTACCCTTCATTTATCTCCTGAGAGTGAATCAGACCCACTTTATTTTACAAAGTTTTAATTCTGGAAGTGAAAACTTTTTCAGTGCTTCAGGAAATTACTGGCAAGCCTGTGCTAAAGGCAGAGTTCTCCATCCCCCCTTGGACCTGCTGCAGGGCTGGCAGCCAGGTGGCAGGTTCCTTCTGCCAGTCCAGCTGGGACATTTTACCTGGGGATCCCCTCTCGCTGTAAGTCCTCACTCCGGTTTTACAACAAGCTCAGTGGATGTTAATCCAAAAGAAAGTAGGATATGAAGTAAGGCACTGGTGAGCAATGCACAAAGGCATGAAATGCCTCAGCATTTGGCCACATCTCTGGTGTTGGCCAGCTGAGTCCTTTCAGTGTCCCATAGCTTGTGTGAGGAGCGAGGGAGATACCACTTCACTGTTTTTGAGAACCATCATTTCTTGAACTGGAAAAGCCATGTAGCAACATGAAGAGAGAAGCAGAGCAGGAACCAGACCTGTTTCATGGGAAACACCATATTCAGAATTTACCTCTGTTCTAAGAAAACAGCAATAATGCCCCCAAACTCAAAATTTTCATTTAAATGCATTTGGGTCAATTGCACTGTTTCATTTGGGTTTCAACTCTTAACAGCACAACCAAATATAATTTATGTTTTGCAATGGAAAAGGCAATTCCAAATTGGCAAGGGAGGCAGCTGAGCCTTGAGATTCACTCCCTCATTCTCCCCACTTTTTTCCTCCCTAAAAAAAGTAGCTGTTGGAACAGTTACTTGTTTGCAAAGGAACACTTTCCTATTGAAGATTTTCTAGTGATGTGTAAGATGGATGTTACAAATATCAGCCCAGACCAGAGAGCAATTGCTGCAGTTTCTTCTGCAGCCTTTAAAAATCCTCTCATTGCAGCCATTCTGGCAGCTCCTTATATATATGGTCAGAGCCAGGCTGCCTGCATTAGGTGTTTAAACACCCTGCTTTGAGCCCATCTCCCTTTTCTGTTTGTGATCTTGACACCACAGTTTAGACTGGCTCAAGGAGGATTGTCAGCACTGCAGCTCTGAATGCTCTTATCTGCAGAGACCTGCAGGGTTAGCAGAGAAAAGCATCCAGCATCTTCCTCTCCTCCGGAAATTGAATGTATCATTTCTCTCAGACTCCCAGGGGCCACAGCCTCCAAGGCTAAAAACCCACAACTATTACTGAACCTAATTACCACCTGACAGCAAAGTGCTTTTCTGTAGCATCATTCAGTTACCTCATCAAAAGGAATGTTTGTTTGCTTTCTTCATTTTAAATTAAAGAACCACTGACAGTGGTAACTGAAGCATTTTAATCTCATCAAATATCCATGTCCATCTCTATAGAGACAGCCACGCCAGCAGGGAAAGATACACATCTACAATCGGGTTGCTCAGAGCAAATTTTTCTCATTCCTCCACCAGAGCCTAATAGGGTGAGAGATCTTTTGTTTGGGAAGTGCTACCTCACGGTAAAATCCTAAATAAGGTTAATGTTCAGCCCAATGCCAACAGATGTTTAAGGAATAGATTTTTAAAGATTCATGTTGTTAATTTCCTGATGGCTTTCAAATACCAGCTTTTCCCTGCAAGTAGACAAATGCCTTCTAATTGTATCCTGGGCTTTGTTACCTGACATTTGATCAGAGCCTGTATATCTATAAAATGTACACCAGTGAAATGAAACTGTTCTTTGAAAGGTTTCCTTTTGGAGAGGTTTGCAGTTAACAGCTTCAAACTGCTGAGAAACAGAAGGGAGATGGCTGTGGCTTTAAATATGCCTTGGCTAGGCAGTGGCACTAGGAAAGGACTGGAATATGTAAAATGATACTAAATATCTGTGTAATCAGGACTAATTATATGGCACGGTTATTAGCTCGAAACAGGACATGTTGTGCCCACAGTTTATGAAAATATATTAAAACATTACCAGATTCCACATACTCATTGAAAGAAAGCTGCAGAGTTAATAAACGTGTAAGGGACAACTAATTGGCTGCTTTGTCCCAGCCTACTACAGGCAGAACAATTTCTGTTTGAGGAAATTAGTGCAGCCAAAATGTGTTATAATGATAGGCCTGGAAATAGCAACAACCTGCAACACTTGCAGAGCAGATCTGACAGAAAGATCTTAACGAAGGAAATGTTTATGTTGGAATCACCATGTTTCAGAGAAGGAAATTTAGGCACAGAAAGGAGATGGACCTCAGAGTCAGAAACAGGGCTGGTACCCAAATTCAGGCACCTTTCAAGAGCTTTGTCCATGCAGTCAGGCTGCCAGAGAGCAGCCATCATACAGTATAGACAATGCAGGCAGTTCAGTGGGAACTGAATTAGGATCATCTGGAGCAAGAAGCAAGAACTGATGCAACAGCTCTGGTTACAGAACCAAGATTGAGGCTGGAGGTAAGGTACCCTCTGCTATCCCAAATGCTTCTGCAGCTTATTTCAAGAGGTCAAGAGAAAGAGCTATATCTGTGTTCTGTGATTCTGTGTATACTGTGCTTATGTGCCTGTAAGTGAATCCAACTGGTTGGCTGGAACTGTGGTTAAATTCCACCAGCTCTTGCCTACAGAAGCCCTTGGGTCAAGTGCCACCTGTAGATAAACATGTCATAGAATCATAGTCTGGTTTGGGTTGGAAGGAACCTTAAAGATCATCCAGTTCCAACCCCACTTTACGGACAGGGACACGTTCTGCTAGATCAGGTTGCTCAGAGCACCATCCAGCCTGGACTTGAGCACTTGTGGGAATGGGGCATCCACAGCCTCTCTGGGCAACGTGTTCCAGTGATGGGGCCTTCGGTTCCTTGCTATGGAACTATGGCCACTGCCCTCCCAGGAGTCAGGCTCCCCTGACTTCCTGAGAGACTCCCATGAATGTGATGTTTAGGCTGGAGCCCTCAAGTCTTTGCTGAGCCTTCTGTGCATGGGCAAGGGCAGTTGGGGTGCTGTGTTTTATCCCTGAGTAGGTGGTTGCTAGGAAATAACGCTGAACCTATCTTTGTGGTGATAATCTCTGAAGGTTTGGGGTGATTTCTGGGGCTCCTAACTCTGCTCTGGGCAACCCTCTTTCCTCCCAGTGTGTCCTCACCAGTGAGAGGGGGTGGTCACAGCTGTAGGCAACTGTAGACAGCTGCAGACAACAAGTTTAGAACCTTCTGCTCCCTCTGTATCGGAAGGAGCCTTTGGGCAAATCTCAAGTCCCCAAATAGCTCAGATCCCTGAAAAGACCTCTGGCCTATGCACTGAGTCTGTAGAGAGGTCAGACATGAAAATTAAACGCTTCAAGGGTGTTCTTTTTAGCACTGTCTTTACTTCTTAGACAGCTCTTTATTTTGTGGTTATTCTCCCTTGCACCCTCCCTCCCACCACAGCTCATCGAGTCCTTCCCAGAACCCTTCAGCCCCTTCCCTCTGACCCCTTCCCCCAGTTCCCCTTGAGAGCAAGCCCAGTGACCACACAGGGTTTCCCACAGCCTGCAAAGGGGAGGTCAGGACTTGTTTTAAACAGTAACCCCAATGTGTCCTGCAGTCCTCGTCGCAGGGAGACCCCGTGATCCCAAATAAACACCCGGTTCAGAAAGATAATGTCCCCTGTTATCCGCCTGCTAAGCAATTATTATCCTGAAGGTGATGTGTCTGCGGCGAGATAGGAAAGCGTCAATGACTCAGCCGGGGAGGGCAGGAAGGTTAGAATATTTTCCTATGTGAGCTAATGAATTAAAAGCCTTGCTGAAAATGCTGGATGTTCTCTGGCGTGACAAGCCAGCAGGCCCATGAATTTCTAGCAGGGTGAGAGAGAACGCTGTGCTGCCTACAGAAGCTGCTGGAGAAGAGAGCGCTGCCACTTAGATGTGCTTGAGAGAGGCTCAGGAGAGCCCGTGCTGGACACAAAGGGTGGGTTAAGTGGGCACAGAGCAGGAGAGCCCAGTGCAGAAAGGGGCTGTCAGGTAGCAGTGAAGGTTCATGCCCTTTCTTTCCTCTTGATATTGTCCTTTTCTAAGCTGTTTAGTGACCAGCGAGTTCTGCTCCCAGTGTGCTCACTGAGAACCATTTGAGTGGGGCTCCCTCTGATGCTGGCAGTGGCATAGGGAGCTTGTCCTCTTACTGAGTCTCTGTCCTGCTCTTGCCTCTTTCTACTTGTGCCAAAGGAAAGGTTAAGATTGCTTGGGTCGAAAGTGAGAAACATCCTCCACTGAAATTGTTAGTAAAAGGTGAAAAATTCATAAGAGATTAAGAGAAAGCAGAGTAGAGCTGTTACAGGGAAAGGCTAAGGTAAGAAAACAGATTTTTTGCTGAAAAATTCATAAATTCCAGTCACTTTGAATGGACTGAAGTCCATCCCTTTGCCCATATCAGCGTTACTCTGTTCTTTCACTCTGGCTCACTGTGCAGCAGAGCCCTGCTCCAGCACAGCATCAGCAAAGGAGCTCTCACCTCCTTAAACCACTGACATTTTTTATCTGAGAGCCATCGGTTCCATGTTTCTCATATTCTGAACACACTGAAGTGCTGAGTCTGCAAACAGCTCTGGCTGAGGTTAGGGAAGCTGGGATTTGAACAGACATCATGTGGGTACCCTGAAAAATCCCACCTGGGCCTTGCTGGTGGAGCATTCTGCAGCTCATGCCTGCCCCATATTTTCCAGTTGGTAAAACCCAGGTGCTCTGCTCACAGGAGTGTTGGAAAAGAAATGCCTTCC